AGGGTGGCGTGTAGAATATTGTCAGCCAGGACTATCAACAAATTGAAGTCTAAAATATAGGCTTTTTTTGCAATATTGAAAGTTTTGTTTTAATATTTCCAAAGATTATCAACTTACAACCTTGAGACTAACAACACTTATAGCAGGAAACATTGCTTAAGACATAATTGTAAAAAATGTTACTAAAAATTAAGTGTACCCACCAACTTTATTGAAATTGCCTAAATCTAAGACATTGGAGATCTATCTCTAGGTAACACAACAATACTAAAATGAGACATAGATTTTTTTTTAAATGTGGAATATAAGGCATTCCTTTCTACAAAAAAAAATAATAAACTTTAAAACCTAGTGCATAACCCAGTTTTACATTTCAAACTTCTAGCCAGAAGATATATATGCCTATAAAATTCCAGCCAGAATGAGTACAGTGTTCAGAAAGATGAACAAAAATTAATTATAGACCTCTTTTCCTAGCACAAAATACACTAGCAATCATTGTGACCTCTGGCTACAAAACATCTAAAAGTGCAAGAAAAAAGAATAAATGGATAAAATATTCTTTTTTTTTTTTTTTACTTTAAGTTCTGGGATACATGTGCAGAACATGCAGGTTTGTTACACAGGTACACATGTGCCATGGTGCTTTGCTGCACCTATCATCCATCATCTAGGTTTTAAGCCTCGCTTGCATTAGGTATTTGTCCTAATACTCTCCCTCCCCTTTCCTCCCACCCACTGACAGATCCCTCTGTCCATGTATTCTCATTGTTCAACTCCCACTTATGAGTGAGAGCATGTGATGTTTGGTTTTCTGTTCCTGTGTCAGTGTGCTGAGAATGATGCTTTCCAGCTTCATCCATGTCCCTGCAAAGGACATGAACATTCTTTTTTATGGCTGCATAGCATTCTATGGTGTATATGTGCCACATTTTCTTTATTCAGCCTATCATTGATGGGTATTTGGGTTGGTTCTAAGTCTTTGCTATTGTAAATAGTGCTGAAATAAACATACATGTGCATATGTCTTTATAGTAGAATGATTTATAATCCTTTGGGTATAAATGCTGGGTCAAATGGTATTTGTGGTTCTAGATCCTTGAAGAATCACCACATTGTCTTCCACAATGGTTGAACTAATTTACACTCCCACCAACAGTGTAAAAGCATTCCTATTTCTGCACATCTTCACCAGCATCTGTTGTTTCCTGACTTTTTAATGATTACCATTCCAACTGGCAAGAGACGGTATCTCATTGTGGTTTTGATTTACATTTCTCTAATGACCAGTGATGACAAGCTTTTTTTCATATGTTTGTTGGCTGCATAAATGTGTTCTTTTGAGAAGTGTCTGTTAATATTTTTTGCCCACTTTTTGATGGGGTTGTTCGTCTTTTAGTTCCTTGTAGATTCTGGATATTAGCCCTCTGTCAGATGGATAGATTGTAAAAACTTTCTCCCATTCTGTATATTGGCTGTTCACTCTGAGATTGTTTCTTTTGCTGTGCAGAAGCTCTTTAGTTTTATTAGATCCCATTTGTCAATTTTGGCTTTCGTTGCCATTGCTTTTGGTGTTTTAGTCATGAAGTCTTTGCCCATGCCTATGTCCTGAATGGTATTGCCTGGGTTTTCTTCTAGGGTTTTTATGGTTTTAGGTTTTACATTTAAGTCTTTAATCCATCATGAGTCAATTTTTGTATAAGGTGTAAGGAAGGAATCCAGTTTTGGTTTTTTGCATATGGCTATCCAGTTTTCCCAGCTCCATTTATTAAAGAGGGAATCCTTTCCCCTTGCTTGTTTTTGTCAGGTTTATCCAAGATCAGATGATTGTAGATGTATGGTGTTATTTCTGAGGCCACTGTTTTGCTCTACTGGTCTATATATCTGTTTTGGTACCAGTACAAAGCTGTTTTGATTACTGTAACCCTGTATTATAGTTTGAAGTTAGCTAGCATGATGCCTCCAGCTTTGTTCTTTTTGCTTACGATTATCTTGGATATATGGGCTCTTTTTCTGGTTCCATATGAAATTTAAAGTAGCTTTTTCTAATTCAGTGAAGAAAGTCAATGGTAGCTTGATGGGAATAGCATCGAATCTATAAATTACCTTGGGCACTATGGCCATTTTCACAATATTGATTCTACCTATCCATGGGCATGGATTTTTTTTTGTGTCCTCTCACATTTTCTAGAGCAGGTCTGTAGTTCTTTTTGAAGAAGTCCTTTACATCCCTTATAATTCGTATTCCTAGGTATTTTATTCTCTTTGTAGCAATTGTGAATGGGAAGACCACTCATGACTTGGATCTCTGCTTGTCTGTTATTGGTATATAGGAATGCTTGTGACTGTTGCATATTGATTTTGTATTCTGAGACTTTGCTGAAGTTGCTTCTCAGCTTAAGGAATTTTGGGGCTGAGATGATTGGGTTTTCTAAATAAAAAATCATGTCATCTGCAAACAGAGACAATTTGACTTCCTCTCTTCCTATCTGAATATCTTTTATTTCTTTCTCTTGCCTGATTGCCCTGGCGAGAACTTCCAATACTATGTTGAATAGGAGTGGTGAGAGAGGGCATCATTATCTTGTGCTGGTTTCTAAAGGGAATGCTTCCAGGTTTGCCAATTCAGTTTGATATTGCCTATGAGTTTTTCATAAATAACTCTTACTATTTTGAGATATGTCAAAAGTTATTTTGCATTACTAGCTCTTATTATTTGAGGTATGAGCTCTTACTATTTTGAGGTATGTATGAATACCTTGTTTATTGAGCATTTTTAGCATGAAGGGGTATTGAATTTTATCAAAGGCCTTCTCTGCATCTATTGAGATAATCATGTGATTTTTGTCATTGATTCTGCTTATGTGATGGATTACATTTATCAATTTGCATATGTTGAAGCCGCCTTGTATCTTAGGGATGAAGCCAACTTGATTGTGGTGGATAATCTTTTTGATGTGCTGCTGGATTCAGTTTGCCAGTATTTTATTGAGGATTTTTGCATCGATGTTCATCAGGAATATTTGCCCAAAATTTTCTCTCTTTGTCATGTGTCTGGCAGATTTTGGTATCAGAATGATGCTGGCCTCATAAAATGAGTTTGGGAGGAGTCCCTCTTTTTCTATTGTTAGGAATAATTTCAGAAGGAATGGTACCATCTCCTCTTTGTACCTCTAGTAGAATTTGGCTATTAATTTATCAGGTCCTGGGCTTTTTTTGGTTGGTAGGCTATTTATTACTACCTCAATTTCAGAACTTGTTATTGGTCTATTCAGGGATTCGAATTCTTCCCGGTTTAGTTTTGGGAGGGTGTATATACCCAGGATTTATCCTTTTCTTCTAGAGTTTCTAGTTTATTTGCATAGAGGTGTTCATGGTATTCTCTGATGTAGTTTGTATTTATGTGGGATCAGTAGTAATATCCCCTTTATCATTTTTTATTGTGTCTATTTGATTCTTCTCTCTTATCTTCTTTGTCTGGCTAGTGGTCTATTTTGTTAATCTTAAAAAAAAAGTCAGCTCCTGGATTCATTTTTTTTGTAGGGTTTTTCATGTCTCTATCTCCTTCAGTTCTTCTCGATCTTAGCTATTTCTTGTCTTCTGCTAGCTTTTGAATTTTTTTGCTCTTGGTTCTCCAGTTCTTTTAACTGTGGTGTTAGGGTGTCTATTTCATATCTTTCCCACTTTCTGATGTGGGCATTTAGTGCTATAAATTTCCCTCTCAACACTGTTTTAGCTGTGTCCCAGATATTCTGGTACATTGTTTATTTGTTCTTATGTCTTATTTTTGTTATTTACCCAGTAGTCATTCAGGAGCAGGTTGTTCAGTTTCCATGTAGCTGTGTGGTTTTGAGTGAATTTCTTAATCCTGAGTTTAAATTGAGTTACACTGTGGTCTGAGAGACTGTTATGATTTCCATTCTTTGGCGTTTGCTGAGGAGTGTTTTACTTCCAATTATGTGGTGGATTTTAGAATAAGTGCTATGTGGTGCTGAGAAAATGCATATTCTGTTGATTTGGTGGGGAGAGTTCTATAGATGTTGATTTGGTGAAGAGAGTTCTATCAGGTCCACTTGGTCCAGAGCTTAGTTCAAGTCCTGAATTATCTTTGTTAATTATATGTCTTGTTGATCTAATATTGACAGTGAGGTGTTAAAGTCTTTCACTATTATTGAGCGGTAGGCTAAGTCTCTTTATAGGTCTCTAAGAACTTGGTTTTTTTTGTTTGATTTTTAAAAAATATCTATTTTATTGCATTTTAGGTTTTGGGGTACATGTGAAGAACATGCAAGATTGTTGCATAGGTACATACATGACAGTGTGGTTTGCTGCCTTCCTTCCCGTTACCTATATCTGACATTTCTCCCCATGTTATCCCTCCCCAACTCCCTACCCCCCATTGTCCCTCCCTTAGTTCCCCCCACAGACCCCAGTGTGTGATGCTCCCCTCCCTGTGTCCATGTGTTCTCATTGTTCAACACCTGCCTATGAGTGAGAACATGCGGTATTTTATTTTCCGTTCTTGTGTCAATTTGCTGAGAATGATGGTTTTCAGTTTCATCCGTGTCCCCGCAAAGGGCACGAACTCATCATTTTTTATGGCTGCATAGTATTCCATGGTGTAAATGTGCCACATTTTCCCTGTCCAATCTATCATTGATGGGGACATTGGGTTGATTACAAGTCTTTGCTATTGTAAACAGTGCTGCAATGAAAATTGTGTGCATGTGTCTATTTACAATTAACATAATGGCTAATAAGTTAGAATTTATGTTTGCACTTTGGCATTTGTTTTCTGTATGTATTACATCTTCTTTTTGTTCCTTTATTCTTCTATTACTGTTTTTTATGTTAAATAGATATTTTCTAATATACCATTTTAATTCTCTTGTTTTATATATTTCTAAGTTATTTTCTTAGTGGTTGCCCTAGGGATTTCAATTAACACCTTTAAAAATACTTTTTAAGAAATAACTTTTTAAAATGTCATTATCCCTCAAAGGGGGTGCACCATTCCTGAAGGTACTGCAATACCAGGTCAATGCCTGGAGTGGACGGACAGAGCAAGCTCCTCTCCCATCTCCCTGCTCCAAAAACTGTTTAATATAGCGTTCTCAGACCGAGGACATATCAGATATTAAACTGATAAGAACAGATACTACACATGATCTTAACCAGAAGGCCGAAAGGAGATCAAAACAACTGACTTTTTTGTTAGAAAGAGATGGGGTCTCATGTGTTATCCAGGCTAGTCTCAATCACCTGGGCTCAAGTCATCCTCCCCCCTCAGCCTCCCAAAGTCCTGGGATTCAGGCATGAGCCACTACTCCTAGCCCTTGATTAACATCTTGATTTAAGATAATCTAGTTCATACTAATATTAACTTAATTTCATAGCATACAAAAACTGTGCTTCATTTCTTCCTTCTTTGTATTATTCTGTCATGAATATGATATCTTTTGTGTTATAAGCCCATTGTCATGGTTTTGTAATTATTGCTTTATGCAGTTGGTTGTCTTTTAAATCAGATAGAAGATAAGAGACATAAAAATCTATGTATATTCTGTCTTTTATATTTACCTACACAGTTACTTTTATTGCTACTTTTTATTTATTCATAAAATTTGAGTTACTGTCTAGTACCCTTTGCTTTCAGCCTGAAGGAATTCCTTTAGTAGCTAGTGATAAATTTAGTTTTATTTATTTGAGAGTTTCATAAGTTCTCCTTTGTTTTTGAGGGACAGATTTCCTGCATATAGAATTCTTAGTTTTCTTTTACTATATCTCACTGTCTTCTGACCATCATAGTTTCTGATGAGGAGTTAGCTGTAAATCTTATTGAGGTTCTCTTGTGTATAATGAGTCACTTTTCTCTTGCTTTCAAGATTCTCACCTTGAAGTCAGCTAATTAGCAAAGAAAAAATTTTATTAATTAAAAATAAAAGATTTTCTCATTGTCTTTGGCTTGTAACAGTTAAATGTAATTTTTCTATGAGTGACTGACTTCTTGAATTTTTCTAGTTGAAGTTCTTTGATGTTTTTGAACATATAGATTTATATTTTTTAAAATCAGGTTTGAAAAGGTTTTGGCTATTAATTTTTCAAAGGTTCCTTTTTCCCCCTTTCTCTTTCTTCTCTTCTGGAACTTCAATTATACATGTGTTGGTAGTCTTGATGGTGTTCCACAGGTCTCTGAGTCTCTATTCATTTCTTCTTTTATCTTTTCTCTTTATGTTCCTCAGATTGGATAATCTCATTGACCTGCCTTCAAGTTTAGTGATTCTTTGTTCTGCCAGTTCCAATCTGCTGCTGAGCCCCTCTCATGAATGTTTTATTTCATTATACTTTTCAAATCCATAATTTCTACTTGGTTCTTATTTATAATTTCTAGCTTCTTTAATGATACTCTCTATGCAATGAGACATCATTCTTATACTTTTAGAATTAGCTTTCCTTAATTCTTGAAACATATTTATTAGTTGACTTAAAGTCTTCTTTGTATTGTAACTCCAATGTCTTGACTTCCTCAGGGATAACTTACGTTGACTACTTTTTATCCTATGTATGGGCTATAGTTCCCAATTTCTTTGTGTGTTTCATAGTTTTTGTTGAAAACTGGGCATTTTGAATAATACCATTTTATGGATTCTTCTTCTCCCCATGGTTTTTTTGTTATTGCTGTTTGTTGTTTTGTTTTTGTTGTCACTGTTGCTGTATGTTTGCTTAGTGACTTTCCTGGACCAATTCCACAGAGTCTGTATTCTTTGTTGTATATGGCTCTGCTCTGTTCTCTTAACAGTCAACTAATTATTGAACAGAGATTTTCCTTAAATGCCTTAAACCAACATGCAACAATAGATCCCCCAACACTTGCCAGCAGGTTCTGTGCTTGTGTTGGGGCACATCTTCAGTGCTCTAGCAGGCAGTTTACAACTTCACCTTAGCCTCCATTTCTTGCTCACGAAGAGCCTAAAGGTCAGCCAGAGATGAAAGATTAGGATTTTCTCAGTTTTTTTTCTGGGGATATGTATAGCTCTTTACATTTGCATGGCCTTTCAGATTTCCAGAAATATGTTGGAGCTTTGTAAAGCTTTCTACAGACATCCTATTCCCCAATTTTTTTCTTTTATATTTTTGGTCAGCCTTTTGTTAGCTTCAGCTGTTAATACCACCTCAGGCAGTTACAATGTTAAACAGTTGTTTTATTTATTGTTTTTTATAAATGCCATGGTGGATAAAGTTGTTCATATAGAGTGAGATTTACTTCAGTTAGGTTAAATAAAGGCAAGCCCTGAGAATGAAGCTCTTCAGAAGCTGCCTAACAGTTTTAATAATGCCAGTTCTCTAGAGATGGGGCTTTTAGGGGGCTCCAAATCTGCTCTGCATCTTCCAGTGGCTGCTAAGCTACTGTTTTTTAAAACACCTAGTTACAAAACTCTTGGCTTTTACATCTTCTGCACAGTAGAAGAGATGGAGATGGAATTGGGGCAAGTAAAAAGTTCTTAGCCAAATTCTGTCATTTTCCTCGGGAAAAGCACTCTTGGATTGTCAAAACCTTTAGTTAATTTCCAGAATTCTGAAAAAGTTTATTGTGAATTTTTTTTTTTTTTTGCAAGTGTTCTCATTGCTTTTATACTGGACCATATTTTCAGAGGTCCTTACTCCACCATTCTGAAGGCTCCATATTCCTCTGATTTTTTGGCTTTTGAATATATTTGACTTCATTGGTAAATTCTGTCTTATCTATTTTCTTAAACATATAATTGAATGCTCATGTTATTGAATCGTAACTATTTGCAGTACTTGTGTGATAACTCCACATGTGGGCCACTTGTGGTTCTGTTTCTGTCATCTGTCACCTATGCCCCCATCCTCTCTGGTCCTGTTCTTGACAATGTCTGGTAAATTTGATTGAATACTAGACTTGCCAATGAAAAATTATAGAATCCTGGGGTGATGGTACTTCCTTCTAGAGAGAATTCAACCTGTTCTCCCATAGACAACTCGAATAGAGCAGGTCACGTCAGTCCAATCAGAACTAAGATAACTTGAGGTAGTGTTATAGTTCTGTTTTGCTGGCCTGCTTCTGCTTCTCCCCTAAACCTGGGATATACCCTCCAAAAATATATTCTCAGATTTAACTAGGAACTCTCCTCCTTAGTATGCACTAATCTTCAATTTTTGTCTCTTAAGCTGATGAGATTGCTAAAAATCCCACTGTTTTGCATTTGGCTTCTTGGCCTCTTGCTCTCTGCAATTCAAGAATTTCACAAATGCTTTAGAAGAACACTATCAAGTGATGGGCTCACTTTTTCATACCTCTCTCTTCTCAGAAAAGTTGGCCCTGAAAGTCCTGGCTGCTTTGGTAGCCCTGAAATCCAGTTACTACCTTCCCAACCCAGTGAGATCTGTTGGTTTCTCTGCCACTTGGCAGCTGTTCTCTGAATAGCATCTAAACTAAACAGGCAAGTACCCCAAGGTGGAAAGCATCTTGAAGAATACTGAGCTCATTTAATTGACCTTCCATTTTTTTCTGAGATCTTGATCCCTCATGTCCTTGATGTTTGGAAATGTCTCTGATAACCTCAAAGCAGGTGTTTTCTTTAAAAAAAATCTTTTTCTAATTTTTGTTAGCAGAGTATATCTCTGCTACAAGTTACTTAACAGAGACAGAGAGGATGCCTTTGGCATTTTATTTTTTAGCATTATTTATTTAAGAACATGATTATTATACTCAAAATATACTCTCTTCCTTCTGCACTACAAGCCAACCAGTCATAGTGCTTTGAATGAGATCTTTGTGTCTCTGGACTCTTATTCTTCTGTTGCTATGTTCTGACTGTTCTGCTCAAGGTCTTGATGTATCTAAGATTACTTTATTTCATGGGGTTCTATTCTTTGGAAGGGGGTAGGTGGGGAAGAGTATAAATATAAAAATTTATATTTATATTGCCTTTGGCTTTAAACTGCCTAAGAGACCATGGAAATCTCTACTTCTTTTTCTTTAGAAGTCCTCATCTCGAGTAATAAATACTGATGACATCTAATTAGGTTAAAAAAATTATGCAATGACACTTGTTAAAGCACAGTAAGGCAGGTTTGATTCAGGACCATTGGATGTTATAGGAGCCACTGCAATGGGATTTTGCAATAGGGAAGAGAGATTGGGCTCAGCTTTGAATAAAGTGCAGGCAAGTGAGGATTTATAGTCAAAGAGTTAGTTGAAGGTCAGAAGAAAAAATGTCTAAGAGGTAACATTAAGGGTAAGGAAAGTTCTGACTAAACCAACCTAACAGAATCTTGCTGAGGACAGGCCAGGGTGATTGGACATCACCCAGAGGATAATGGAGGATGAAGAACCTTATATTGAGGGTGATTAGATATTGAGGGTAGGGGGTTATTATAGTATAAATGTAGTGTTGCTTAGATTAATGTCACTGAAATTTCTTTTCCATGGATGATATATTCTAAAATAATAAGAAAATTTTAATTGACTCAGCAAGTTCATAGATCAGCTTCTAGATCAGCTAAAGCAACATGCATCTAAAATATTAAAACACTGACTAAAACTCATTCAAGGGAGTATTAACTATTGTCTGGATCCTGGAATAGCAATAGGAAACTTGCCTGTAATTAGATATGCAAATTAAACCACAATTATATTACATTCAAAAAGGAGACCTCCTATAGCCTGTATTGCTGATTCATTGCATTTAGTCCTAACAATCTTTTCTATGTCTCCTTTTCATATATAGGCAATAAAGCAATGCCAGGATACCAAAATGGCTGAACTTTCTATGCTATACATTAGTAAAGTAATAAACTCAAAGACCTGGCCACAGTATTTTCCTCCTTGATGACTACAGGGTGTTTGTTTGGTATTGGTGTAACAGGATTCTTTTTGAATGAATGCGGTGCACTCTGGAACTCTCTGAAGATATACTTGTATTTGTAGATTGAATTCTGCCTTTCACTTCCCATTCTTAAAGCCTGCCATCTATACTTGAAACAACACATACAGGGAAGAAAAAGAAAGGAGAGAGTACCACAAAGCTGTTTTACAGACAACTACATTAGCTAGTCAGTCAATATAAATCAATTAAATAAAAAGAGAAGCTCAGAAAAGACACACTATAAATATGTCCATTTATTTTGTGTCTATCACAATCAGTACATCATCATATGTAGCAATTC